CACTGTCTGTGATGTTTTTCAGAGTTTTCAGAGTCCTATCTTCAGTTTGTTTACATCGCCAGGACGGCCGGCTGACTCCTCCCCTCGTGTATAAAAGTTGTTTAATTGAGGGACTAGAGAAAAGAAGAATAACATACTGTACTCACTGCTTAACTGTGTTTCTAGATCACGCTCATTTCAGGTAAATTTACATGCAGTGTGAAGATACCAGCATAATAAAGATCGCTAGCATTAGCATGCTAACACAACAATGCAGCGTAAGTTGTTTTGGTTTCATGCTGGTGCTCAAGGGCGACATCTGCTGGATCAGAAAAATCTCATATAAAGCCTTTAAACATTAGGAATAATCACAGACTCTCATGGGTTTTTTTTTAAAGTGAGAGTTCTTACTGGACGAAGCCGAAGCGGTCGATGACTTTGTACAGGTGGTAGTTGGTGTCCTCCCAGGGCTCCACGGTCGCCTCTTTACCCTGAAACCAGAAGAGAGAGAGATGGAACACATGTCGACCTTTCAGAGGACTTTTTTGTACATTTGACGGAGAAAACAACAAATCAGTTAATCATGAAAATAATCAGAAGATTATCTGAGGTCGTGCGGCGTTATGAAAAAAGAACCAAACAAAGACTTCTGATCGAGCGCCGTGTTTCATGCCACCCACGTTTCTTCAGGGGCAGAGAATCATGTTTTGATTGGCTGCTGGATTACGTGTGGAGCCCCGACCCCTGTCGCCCTTGGGAAAGTGAGTGTGTTTATGAGACACAGAGAAACTGTGTGTGTGTGTGTGTGTGTGTGTGTGTGTGTGTGTGTGTGGCAGCGTCTAACAGGTGTGAAATGAGCAGCCAGACGCCCACCTGCGTCACCGTCTGACTCCAAAAAAAAATAAAATGTCTCCAGTTAATTCACCATCATGGACTGATGAAATAGAAAACCCACAATAGGAGTGTGTGTGTGTGTGTGTGTGGTTGTGTGTGTGTGTGTGGAGAGGAGGAGGAGGGGGTTTATCAAAGGGAGATAGAGTGTGTTAAAAAAGGTGGAGGATTAGAGGAGAAAAAGTAGAAAAAGAGTCGATGTACAGCTCGGTGTATAACGTCTGGTTGATTTGAGGAGCGTGCTTTCAGATTTTTTTAAATTATTTAAAGGTTACATATTATTTAAAAACAGCCTTCACCATGTTTTGTGATTTTAGGCAAGGCAAGTTTATTTATGTCGGACATTTCAACAACAAGGTAATTCAAAGTGCTTCACACCAGACATCAAAAGAATCATGACAGAGGAAAGAAAAGAAAATTAAAAAATCACTGAAATGATTAAATCTGAAAACATGTTCTAATAAAAAATAATGAAAATGAAATTAATTGAAATAAAAAAAATAAAAGTAAAGAAATTAAAAGAGTTCCAGATATAGGGAGCATAGAAAGTGAACGCTGCTTCTCCATGTTTGGTTCTGACTCTGGGGACAGAGAGCAGACCTGTCCCAGACCACCTGAGCGGTCTGGATGGTTCAGAATTAATCAGGAGGTCACTGATGTATTTTGGCCCTAAACCTTTAAGCGCTTCATAAACCAGCAACAGGATTTTAAAGTCTATTCTCTGACAGACTGGGAGCCAGTGTGAAGACCTCAGACCTGGACTGATGTGATCCATTTACATTTAGATTTGATGTGATTCTGCTCCCTTAAAACTCTTACTCTCATATAGTCCCTGCTTTTACTCAGACTTGCCCTGCTCGTGCTCAAACTGCACTCCTGTTCTGGTACATTGTTTTTTTTTTGTGCACTCCAGCTTCATGTCGTCTTCTTCTGTGCACTCAAAAAAAATTTAATGGAGTTTTGAGCAAACACCTGACCAACGGAGTGCAGGGCATAGGGTTCATCTCCAGCTGCTCACCAAGCAGGAGACGACTCGTCATGAGTCTTGTTTTTTTTTTCATTTGCATACAGAGCAGATTTCAAGTCCTTTTTAATCAGACGGTGATTTATGCCTCATTATGCTGCAGGATCGGCATAATGCACACAAAGTGAATTACAAGTGCGTCTCAAATCAAAGCGCGTTAATCAAAGCGTGAACAGATCGTTTGGACAAAAGTCTCTGTTTGTTTTTGTGACTGAAACCTTTTGTGTTCAACAGATGATGGACGTATACAGAAAAGATCTTTGTTATTATAATGTCTATGAACTTTATTGTGAATGACTCTTATCCTTCATGAAATAAAACGTTTGAGTTATAAAATAATGAACCCGCTCTACACTGTGAGCAGCTCGAGACATGAGCTAACCAGACATATTTGTTTTTTTGAACCAGGCTGTAAACATGTTAATCTCTGCTGTAAAAACAGGCTTTTTTAGACTGGGTGTGTATGTGACTTCCTGTGCTTCTGCAGCCAGCCTCTAGTGGACACTTGAGGAACTGCAGAATTTTTAACTTCAGCATCGGCTTCATAAAGTGACTTTAAACTGTAGCTGTGATTTCCTTCCCGAGTATCTGTGCTGTATATAAACTTCACTGCAGCCATACCGGATGATAACTCTTTATGTGTGTGTGTGTGTGTGTGTGTGTGTGTGTGTGTGTTTGTGTCTTTGCATGCTCGATGCTTCCTGAGTGACTCGACCATTTCACCGCCGGCGGTATCAGCGGGACCAGCCCACCACGCTCCGTTTTGTAAATGAGTCTTTTTTTTAATTTAGTCCAGCAGGCTGCGTAATCAGCTCGGCCTCATTACGAGTGAAGAGAGCGAGGAGAGGGGAGATGATGGAGGCGTGTTTGTGTGTCTGTGTGCGTCTGAGGCACAATCAGAGCTCCATCAGTGTCGCCGTCGCTGCAGGGGGAGGGCTGCAGTTTAATGGAGTCAGTTATCACGACGACCACACACACAGACGCCTCTCGTCCTCTCACATCAGACGGCAGATATTAAAGATGATTTGTTGTCTTTGCAGGAAGAGAAGAAATACAGACTTCTGTTTCCCTCGGGTCTGAGTGTGTGTGTGTGTGTGTGTGTGTGTGTGTGTGTGTGTGTTTGCACGTCTGCAGGGGTGCTGATATTGTTGAACAAAGGCCGTTGATGAAGATATCTGGAGACAGTATATGAATAACTTCATGGTTGTTTGGAATCAGCTTAATTCAGATATCAGCTCCTCTCGTAAACATGACGTAAAATACGTGCTAACTCATTTGATTGTATTTTTTTGTAGCCTTGTTAGCAGCAAGAGGAAACTGTTTAAAAATGAAGCCGATGCTGAAGTTTAAAATCCTGCAGTACCTCCAGTGTCCACTAGAGACTGGCTGCAGAAGCACAGGAAGTCACATACACACCCATTCTAAAAAAGCAGAGATTAAAATGTTTAAACTAAATCGGTCTGATTAGTTATTGTCATCCTGGGCACATCTGGACGTTATCCAATGAAATCACTCGGTGCTCATGGCATCACATAAACCCAGCTGTTTAGACTTTTGGTCGTCTCTGCCACGTTTGAGTTAGAGTCCACTGAGCGTGCACACAGTGTGGAGCATCAGATGGCTTTTATATGCAGAACTTGTGGGTTCATTTTTTTATTGGCCGTTAATGAGCTCTGGCGGCCTGTGAGCTGCGGCTCATGTTCTGTCGTCACAGATTCATAAAAAAAAAATGTTGAAATCACTGAGCGGTCTGACTGCACCCCGCTGACTGGGATTATTGTGTTTCACGGGCAATAAGGCCGTGATTTATGGAGGGATTCCTCTGCACTGTTAGGAGAGTTATGAACCTCCAGTGAGTGACCACAGAGGAAAACAAACTCATGTTGTAAAGTTTGTTCAGTGCCGGCCGGCCGGCTGGATGGACGGATGGATGAAAGGATGGATGGATGGAGGGAGGGAGGGAGATGTTACCTTGTCATATTTGGCGACTATCTCAGCTCGCTCCTGGACGAGTTTCAACGCCGCATCCTGATCGGTATCAGACGCTGGAGGGAGACAAAAGGAGAGAGAGAGAGAGAGAGAGAGAGAAGTCAGTGTCAACAAGTTAAAGTTGAAGAAAACAGAGCTCACAATAGAAATGTTTACACAAAGACGAGAGTGTTATTCCTGAAAGCTCCTGAGGCGATCTGACACGACTGGATGCCCAGCCTACCACCGCCGTCCTCATTCATGCACGGCCTGCTCCGACCTCCACCTCAGAGGAGAGGGAGGAAGTGTGGACAACAGGAACAAGAGAGGAACACAAAGTAGAAATCCTTGATCCCATTTTTCTTAACAATGAGTTCGGTCTTTTGGAAAGCGTCTCGAGACAACACTTGTTATGAATTGGCGCATTCCAAATAATAACTGATTACACCTCCAGGTTGACAAGCAGTCCTGACCCGAAGACCATTCTGCTAATGATACCATGAGTCCAAACCAATTGAACCCAACTACCTCGAACACAGGCGATGCTAAGTCTAAATGTCTGAACATGGGAATGTGTTTGGTGCTGAATCCAAACTGAAACCATCGACTTTCACCACCGAGGGAAACGTCCTTGAAAAACAACTTCCTGTAGGTTTTCTGAGATGTTAGAAGGTGTTGTTGTTGTTGTGGTCATCACACACCTGTACAGGGTTTTACTCCAGCTCTGTCACAATGCATCAGAGTCAAGAGCTGACGAGGACGACACACACACTCAGCCTGACCTCAGCCTTTGAGAATAACATTTCTCTGTATAAAACCAGCTGAGCAGAGGAGCTCACAGAAAGAGTTTTCTGTGAGCTCAATGTCGTTGCTAAGGATAAAAACACTCAAACACCTCTCACTTCTCTGCATCAAGATTGTTCATTTCTCTCAACCGTTTCCATCCTGTGAAATAATGTACAAGTACAAATCTTTAGAACGAAACACTTCCTGTTTCAGCCTGAGCATGAGAGGCTCCAAACATCGGATGTGTGTTAACAAAGCTGGCACACACACACACACACACACACACACACACACACACACACACTATTGAGAGGGGGTCATGCGGTGTTTACGTTGAATATTGTGTTGGACACGTTGTAATAATGAATCACGCCTTCGAGCACCGACAGGGAACGCAGCCAAGATGGATTCTCGTGTGATTATTATCTTACAAATCCAGCCGCAAACTCAAGCCTTTTAATGTCAAGACTACGAGACTGTTTAGAGGCATTAATAGTCCACACGGACCCGTCTGATGCTCCAACCTCTTTTAATCTCCAGCCTCTTGTTCTGACCTTTAATATCCCAGCATGCTTTGCCTCCCAGCAGCCGTGTTACACTGACAGTTTTTCTTCTTCTTGTCACTTTTTTTTTCGGCCCTTCACAGAAAACTATTTGACTCCAGTCATCCTCTAACTTCCTCTCTGGGTCTCTTGGGGGGGGCGGGGAGGTTGGACAGGAATTCCAAATTGCTCTGAACAAACGCGCTCCTTATTGAGCCCGGCTGGTGGTTTTTATGACAGGATGGTGAGTGTCAGTGAAAGGCATTCACAGCGGGAGAGGACGCTGCACAGCAACACTGACTGTCTGCAACCAAATAAACAAATACAGTAAAAACACGTTTTTTTTTTCCTGCTGGGAATTCCTCCCCAGGAGGCCCCCGCGGTTCCCATAGTGAGCTGCAGAGGAATTGGAGGAGGAATGGGATTCAAGTCTTTTCTTTTTGCACCGCGGCTTATTCCTTAACTCGGCGCCCCCTTACAGACACATTAGTATTCCACAGCGGGCCGACTTAAGCTAAATGCAATTAAACCCCCTTTTCAGGCTCCAAGGATCACATCGGCATCCGTGACCGCGATGGCGAGCGTGTGTATGTTTTTATTTGTGGCCAAGGGTTCACTGGGTTTACAGACAAATGCCTTGTGTTTTTTTTTTTGTTTTTTTTTATGATTTATATTTTATTGATTTTTATAACAACATTATAATGGCAAACAATTATAAAAACAAACAAACAGACTAAAGGGAACAACAAAACAGGCAGGAAACATAATAGACGATAAATGGATGACAGAAATTAGATACAACGATTGTTGTACAACGAAGTATCAAAAGTGCATCACCAGAAGGAGGCCATATGACAAACACAAGTCAATCCACACCCTGTGCAGTGATGTGTTGTGTTCTCCTGATATAAACTGGCTAAAATTGTCCCATTGCTCCTTAGTAATGTAATTTTTCCAGTTCAGCTTTCCAAACATATTTTCACAAGCAGCTATTGTCATCATTTCTTCTTCTTCATTTTCAGTGTCAGAGTTCTTGGTTCTTTCCAAAATCTAAGAATTAGCCGAGCTCATGTTATTAAGCCAGTTGTTAATACTTTAAATGAGTATTTGCTTAAATAGGGTCCTACACCTTTATCCCCCAGGAGACAAAGCTGAGGTGATCTGGGAAGTTGGCATCCCAACCAGTCCTCCATTAAGTGCTAAAACATTTGAGACCCCTTGTGTTTTTAAGTTTACAGAGGGTTTGATTTGATTGGCTCTTAAAATGTGTTTAACATCAGAATACGACCTCCAAGAAGACCGGAGTCCAGTGGAGAAAAACAGGTTAATTAATGGTATTGAACTGGATTAAACGAGCAGGTAATGGAACCGAACTATACCTAAATCTAAAACCTCACATAATAATAACTTTATTTCTACAGCACCTTTTAAAAACACAGGTTTACAAAGTGCTTTGACAAACAGCAAAAACAAGAACAAACTAAAGCAAACACAGAAGAACATAAACAACAACAAGAACAGAACAAATACTAAATACTAAAAATAACAACAACACGAGCTGAGACCAAGAGGAGCAAAGATTTAAAAAGATGTAAGAAACTAAAAGAGCTAAAAAAAAAGCAAATCAAAAGATAACAGCAATAAGAAGGTAAGAGCAGGAAAAGAAATAGAAACAAGTGAAGAAATGATAAAGAAAAAAACCAATAATATTAATAATGATAAAAAGTATATATACATATGAAACATAAATAGACAAAGTAAGTAAGATAAAAAACAGGAAGTGACCAGAATGTGGATAAACCTACAAAATAAAAAAAAGCAGCCTCAACGTCCAAACAGACAAAAACCTGCTGTGTGTTCGGAATAATCCTTCAAAAGATCTCTTCTCTCCTTGTCATCCTGCTTATCATCATAACAAGGTTATAGACGCCCCCACTGAGCTGACCTTTAGCCCCGCCCCTCTCTCTCTGAGCTGCCACTCAGTCCCCAGCGGAGAGGCGATGTCGCTCCAGCTTTCTGTCCTCGTCCCGCTGTGATGAAAATGTCCCCGAACGTCACCCTGACCCGGCCAGCTGGACCCCTCCCAGTGATACCCCCTCCCTCCGCGCCCCTCCCTCTTCACTCTGCCTTCAGTCCAGCTTGTCATGCTGCATTCGGGTCACGTGGGAATTTCTACTGTCAGTGCTGAGGGCACGCACGAGAACTCATCTGAAAGCATCAGGAGGAGGCAGCGAGGATTCAGGAAGTCCAGTGGAACTTCCTCCTGCAAATTTTTTATTCAGGTGGGAGGCTCACTCTGCACATTAAAGCAACAACAGCTTTTAAAAAAAAAAAACCTGTGATCGCCACGCTTCACTTTTCTCACTCGACTGAAAACCTGTTATTGCACATTCAAAACTGTGTGAACGACAGATGTTGACAAAGGTGTGAAAAGAAAAGAAAAAGATGTTAGGAAGCAGAGAGGAAGTCAAGTAACCTGTCGTGTATTTCATAATAGATTTCCATTTGATCCTTTAACATCAAACACCGACTGCAGGTCTAAATAATGTGAAGTTAGTTTATTACACTATTTTATTAAGTACTGCAAACTGACTCAGGTGTGAGGGAGGCATGGCACACATCGTACTCCTCAGATATTTAAAAAGGAACTGTGAGATATTCCATCAAACATGAGGGAATTTCTGCTCCAGCAACTTCTTAATACAGCCGACGGCCGACCACCATGTGAGAGGAAATAACTCTCCACGCCAGCAGGGGGCGGTAGTCCGTTGTTATTCTACAATTCTACAATTCACTTAGCAGACGCTTTTCTCCAAAGCGACGTACATCAGAGAGTAAGAACAACACAAGCGAGTCTGATTGGACACACAGGTGCTGACAGGAAGTGACCAGAGGCAAAGCACAACATTGAGGGCAGTTCTTGAGAGCTCTAATCAGTATAGAAACCATCTTATAAGTCGTCGTTATCAAACAAAAACCATCGTCATTACCATCATCATCATCAATAATATGGAGACCATCATCATTAAGTTAGTAGGTATTCATGAAAGAGCTGGGTCTTTAGCTTTTTCTTAAAGGTGCAGAGGGACTCTGCAGATCACATGGAGTTATGATACGAGAAGACCATTTCCATTAAACACTGCTGTCCCTCACCACTCGTGTTATAAGTACTTCTTATTGAGAGTAATAAAAAGTAGAAAATGGTGCTGGCGTTGTCAGTTCTTGGTCTTTTAGTGGAAAAAGAAAAGAAGAGGCGGAGGAGACAAATAAGGAGAAACTGAACTAATGGGTGAAAGTGTGGATACTACAGCGGCATGCTCAAGGGGCTTGTTTTTGTCCCCAATAGACTGGTAAACCATTAAAACCAGTGTTACAGCCATCCTTCTGACGCTACCAGACCCCATTGGCTACACGGTCAGTTGCTGGTCACTGATCTGATTTTTTTTTATTGGTTTTGTGGAAATATGAGTTATTTCGATGAGGAGATCATTTAAAGCAGGGCTCAGAAAATGCCTCAAATTTTTGATGAATGACAACAAAAACTACCAAAATGGTTTCCTCCAAATGTGTGACTTTTCCTCCAGCTCCGAAACAGCCAATCAGAGAGAGACTTCTCACCGACCACCGACCGCAGATTCAACATGTGGAATCGGCCGAAAAAAAGGCTGACGGGGGCTGAGACCACCAAGGGATGAAAGACTATGAAGTCTGAACACATGGACAGATTGTTGTGTGAACTAAACAATAAG